TTGTCTCTTGCGAATAAGAAGACGCGATCGTTTTGTTAGTCTGACGTTTCGGATTCTCACTCGAATCCATCATCAGGGACAAAGTCATTGGTTATTGTAAGTTAGACCTTAAAGTATCTGGTGTGACTATAGTTTCTTATGAATAGTACGCCAAAAGTGTATGAAAACACCAGTCGGCAGGAATTTACCCACGTGAACGGCACAGAAAACAGAAATTGTCTGTAATTGGAGTGCAAGCGTACATGTGTTCTGATCCCAAATTCCAATGACGGTAAGCCTGATTAATTCATTCTACTGAAATGGAATAAGTAGAAACGATATTGAGTGGTTAAACGTAGTAATATGCATTCTCAAAGGTCGAACCGGCCAGAGCCATCCAATGTACTGTATGGCTTTCCTAGAAGCTTTCATAACTAATTACGTCGGTATCGTATACGAGTGGAAAATGCGCAAGCCTCCAGGCGACGGTAACCGCACTTTACTATGCAAAGGCTAGCCAATATAGTCAAACTCTGTAAGTAAAACCATAGTAAGCACCTAGCACATAGTGCCGCTTTAAGACAGGTATGTGATCACGAAATATGATTAAAACTGTCAAGCAAAAGATGTTTTCACACATACCAAGGTTGTTGTCGTCAACCTTTTTCAGAAGGTACTCAAGGTCCCTTGGGAGACTCTTTGCGGAACGATATATGTCAGGTGACATTCCCAGGTCCCCCTCATTTTCTCCATATGCACGTGACCAGTCGAAGGCACTCCTTGGATTTCCTGAAGCGATTTATTTCAAATATTAATTTTGTTAGGCTTAGCCATATAGGTTGTCAAGTGGCATGTAGAGAACAAGAATATTTATCGAAACTGTTTCAGATTTTTAGCTAACATTAATAATAGCCCGGAATTTTATAATGTAATCATTTGAAATAAACCTATACTGACTTCCAAAAAAGGAGAAAATTTTGGCTAATATCGTTGTCTAAAGGTAATACACTTCGAATAATACAATATCAGAGGACAAAAGTCGAACGTACTACCGCGGCTGTGAGACTTTCGACTTGTACCGCCGAGACTGTCTCTCAGAAGAAAGTTATCCTCGTCGGAGGAATCGCTGTCCATCATGAATTTTTCTTTCTCAACATTATAGCGAAAGTTGCGATAATAGTCTTTCAAGTATTTCTCCTTTTGGGAAGGCGCCGTTTCATTCTTGTTTCCAAAGAGCTAAAAAAGCAGACGGCTTGATAAGAGTTTAAGCAAACTGCGGAAACACCAATGGAAGACCCAGTGCCTGAGATAG